TGCTTATTTTGATATTAACTTGTGACCAGATTTTAACTATTAGGTATGTAGCATGACAAGGTTTTATAGAAAACATTCTGGATGGGTGAAACAGCAATTGTGAAGAAATAAAAACACAGACATGGACAAAGCACTCAGTAGCTCAGGAAGTATCTGTGGAAGAAACAAACAGTCATAGATTCAAGTCTGTGATCTTTCACCACAACCAGTCACACAAAGTTACAGGCATGAAACTTTAATTCTGTCCATAGACACTGCCAGACCTACTGAGTACTTCCAAGCACTTTGGTCTTGAATCACTGAAAAGAATGTCAGGAGAAAATGCAAGCAGCTTATTTAACTGTGGGAATAGATACTGTACAATGAAATCTACCTACACATACAAGAAGCAAACCCACAATTCCTTCAGGCGCACTAACATGCTAGTTGTGCCTTAACAGGTAGTCTTTATTGGAAACTATCCAGTCCATACACATTCAGAATCATCTGAAACCACATTTTATGGATCTGGCAAGCTGCCATTGAATCCGGTGTTCCAACTGAATATCAGGGCTCCAGCCTCCAGTGAGCCTGCATGAGAATGACTGCCTAAAGAAGATCCTGACAGCAGCTATGAGAGAGATGTCTTTCTGGTCTTCCTACAGAATCGTTGGTCCAACAGCTGTGAAAATAACCACACTGCAACATTATACAATGCTGTCAGCAGTGGGCAGTGACGCTGAGCAATGATATTTCGATTCTGGAAGTGGCCCATTACTTCCCAAAGTTCTCCCCCTTTTTCAGTCAACTAATCTTCCTAATGACCATTCCTAATGCAGCTATCTAGGCAGTGTTAGAGACAAGCCCAATTCTGATCTATAATCAAATGTTCAATTTCCAGTCGCGATCAACACACCAGCAGCTGATACTATGCTATCCAATGGAGAGGCAGGCAGCCCAATTTTAACACCCTAACTTCAACCTCAATTCAGAACAGTTAACCCAGAACTCAGTTTGTCTGAGCCACACCAAGCAAGGATTCAATTCAAAAACCATGTTATTAGGAAAGGTGTGGATCAACAACCTTCCGGTTCTGACTGTGCACATGCTTGGTTTACATATAGGGAAATCTGACTTTGGTGCAAAGGCAATTTAAACATTCTTTACTTTCAACTTTTCTCTCATTTGTTCAGAGCTCAATTGTTACCAGCAGACCCCTCGATTTCAAGCGGTATGTATTTGTCCTGTGCTCCTCACAGTCATCCACATTTCACTGATTCTTATGACACAATCTGTGGCCATCCTATCCGAGTTGGGACTTCAACCCAGACCTTTTGGCCCAGAGGCAGGTACAGTACCACAACACAATAAGATCCTTGGATCACACCTTACCAGACAGCTACTTAAACTTCAGGTCACTTAACATAAGAACATAAGAAATAGGAGCAGGACTAGGCCACCTGGCCCATTGAGCCTGCTCTGCCACTCAATAAGATCATAGCTGATCTTTTCATGGACTCAGCTCCATTTACCGCCTGCTCACCATAACACTTAATTCCTTTAATGTTGAAAAAAAATCTACCTTTGCCTTAAAAACATTCAACAAGGTAGCCTCAACTGCTTCACTGGGCAGGGAATTCCACTGATTCACAACCCTTTGGGTGAAGATCCTCTTCAACTCAGTCCAAAATCTGCTTCCCCATTATTTCGAGGCTACGCCCCCACCTTGTTCTAGTTTCAACCTCCCTGCTTCTATCTCATCTTCTCCCTTCATAATTCTGTATGTTCCTGTAAGATCTCCCACCATTCTTCTAAATTCCAATGAGTATAGTCCCAGTCTACTCAATCTCTCCCCATAAGCCAACCCTCTCAACACCAGATTCAATCTAGCGAACTTCCTCTTCCTCACGGGCTCCAGTGCCAGTGCATCCCTTCTCAATTAATGACACCAAAACTGTACACAGTACTCCAGAAGTGGCCTCACCCACACCCGATACAGCCGCAGCATAACCTCCCTAATTTTTACACTCCATCCCTCTAGCAATGAAGGACAATATTCCATTTGCCTTAATTACCTGCTCCAGCTGCAAACCAACTTAGTGATTCATGCAGAAGGACATATGCTGCAATTTTTCACCATATAAATAATAGCCCATTTTGCTGTTATTCCTACCAAAATGGATAACCCCACATTTACAAACACTGTATTCCATCTGCCAGACCCTTGCCCACTCACTTAACCTACCTATATCCCTCTGCAGACTTTGTGTCCTCTACACACTTTGCCCTACCACTCATCTTAGTGTCATCTGCAAACTTTGAAAATACTCGTGGCACCTTTAACTCCTCTTCCCTTAAGGATTTGAAGGAGTATCAAGGACAACTACAGCAGCATAATTGATGCTGTGCTGGACAAACAGCTAACTTAAGAAGATTGTTATCAATCACACCCATGTTTTTAATCCTTCGAAACCACAAAAACAATGCAGTCAGGCATTGAGCTGTTTAAGTCTCAAGCCAGCTTTGATTAATTGAGTACTTTTTTTGCTCAAAACTGTCAAGCCTTGTCCATATTTGTCAACTTTTACATTCAAAATTAGTACCTCAGATGCTATTATATTACAAAGAAGCAATTTTCCATGACAGCTATACATTATAAACCATCAATATTTACTGAAGACCCAACAGTACTCGAAAAAATTTGCATTTGTGATTTTCACAAGTTTAGCAACGAATGTTCGGAAAGTCCATGAAACCTTAAGTTCCATTTTCACCTTCCAAACATTTAAAAAATGTTTGGATCAAACATTTAAAAAATGCAAAAATGCACAATATCATTCTACTTATGGAGTATGTGCATAGGCTACATACAAAACTGAAAACAAGAGGAGAATAATTTGCCATGTCAAACTGCAAGTTTACTAATGTGTGCAGAATATACGCAATATTATATGACAAGTATACTTCAACAACACCTTTACCGAATGGTTTCTCAAACTATCGTTACTCAATCTGGCGCTTTAGCCTGGCTCCAACCATTCAGTTCCACCTGCAGTTCAGTTAATCATAAACAGGTTGTTGTCACCTGGTCAACAAATAAAACCTCGTGCCAGGGTTATAAATTTTCTAGGCTCTAGCACAATGACGCTGAGGAGATGCAGCTCTCACTCTTATACAAGCACACCGACTCCACTTCATATTCCATTGGCAAGCAGATGACAGCAAAGTCCAACTCAGCTGAACCACAGAGACATACCGATAATTAACTTGAGAATAGACAGCACTTCAAACAGTTGCGGCAGTAAAGTTAGCGCACCTATCCTGCTAACCCATCATCATCCTGGGGTCACCATCGGCCAAACACTGAACTGGACTCGCCACATAAATACAGCAGATACAAGAGCAAGTCAGAGGCTGGAAACATGTAACTCACTTCCTGATTGTCCAAAGCCTGTTCACCATCTACAAGGCGTAAGTCAGGAGTGTGATGGAATATTTCCCACCTGCCTGGATGACAGCAGATCCAACAACTCAGGAAACTTGACACCACCCAAGACAAAGTCTGACAGTATGGTGCTCAACAAGCAAACATCCACTCCATCCAACACGGATATTCAAGAGCGACAATGTGTCCAATATGGAAGATGTATTGCAGAAATTTACCAAAGATCCTTGGACAGCACCTTCCAAACCTACTACCACCTCCATCTGGAAGGACAAAGGCAGCAAATACCTAGGAACACCACCACTTGCAAGTTTCCTCAAGCTACTCACTGCCATTACTTGGAAATATATCACAGTTCCTTCACTGTCACTGGGTCAAAATCCTGGAATTCCCTTCATAACGGCATTGAGGGTCTACCTTCGACACATGGGCTACAACAGATCAAGGCGGCAGCTCACTGTCACCTTTTCAAAGGCAACTAGGGACAGGCAATAAATGCTGGCCAGCCAGCGACACCCACATCCAAAACCATTAAAACAAAATACGATCACATATTAACAGTATCCTGTATATTCCAAGATTCAGGAGTTATTTTAAAAGATATTGTCTACATGTAAGCATCTGTTCAGGCCCAACTGTTTAAATTGAAGTACAGTTGTCAAGTGAAACAAATTAATTATAGAAAAAGCCACATTAATGTGGCATTTTCCAAAGTAAGTGACTTCCACAAAGGCAGCTTACTCTTGTACCACAAGCTTTATACTGAGGAAGCAGTTTGCACTATTCACCATTCACTATCATGGACAGATCATTGCCTAAATATTCATGAAATCCATCAACAAAAATGGACACTCAGTTGGGGGGGGGGGGGGGGGGGGGGGAGGAAGGACGGGGGGAGAGCAGAAATCAAAAATCCGTTACAAACTCTACTCTAATACGCATTTCATGTGCACTTGTGTGCACAAATCACTAAGTAAATACCTTCAAAAATAAAAATGCTTATATTAAAATCCATCGAGTTATCGTTTTTAGAAGCTTCCACTTTCCTTTTCCATCACAGGGTCTATTTTAAAATTTTATTCTTGATCTTGCATAAAAATCAGTTCCATTTTATGTCAAACATTTCCAAAGCTTACTCTTAAATATTACTTAAATCTCCAAAGATCAATGCTGAAAATTTCAATTTAGAAACAATACAGGTTTATCCTGGACTTTCTTTCACTGTATTGACATGCTCCAGGCACCAACTAAAAATTACATGCACCAGTACACAATCAAGACAATCTCCAAAAGGCAAGTGGCAAATAATCCTCCATTTAAACAGATTAGAAGGCAAGGTTCATGTAAAGCCACAACAAACCCAAAGTAACTCAAATTCCTTTAAAGAGAACTTTTAAAGCACAAGGTCCAAATTTGTATTATTGCTTTTATCCTCAAGTGCTTTTTCACTTGGTTAGTGTAATAAAGTAGTGATCAGAGAATCAGACAGTACTCTCAAAACCAACAAAATCGTTTACTAATCAACGATTATTATTTCAGGCCAGAAAGCCACAATCAATCATTTTCAAACTACATACCAATAAATTATGAGATTGTATCTCAAATTTCACAGCAGTAAAATATTTTCCTGCAAAAAAAAAGCATCAGATTTCAAAACTGGCATTCCATTTCACATTCTCTGCACACAGAATTATTTGGAGCCTACAATTATTTACAGGAATTTTAAAAACTCACATAATCATGGAAGGCTTTTGCTTCACTTGAATGTTCACACGTGTCTCGCCTTTCTGGAGCTGCACAGTAAAGGTCCCAAAACACACTATAGAGAAGGAAAAAAGTCTGTTACTATTTCTCTTTCTAAAAGCAAAAAAAAAGTATACTCCAGGCATGCACATGCAAAATATATTCGACACTGTTTGTTAACAAAGCTCATTATGCTGCAATGCACTATGCTCAGGAAAACACAGCTTTCAATGATAAGCGATATAAATATAGGGTGGATACTGGCATCAAAACCACAAAAGCAGTCACAATGCTAAGAAGTAGTTAATAACCTCTCGGGTTTAAAAAGCAACTGACTGAAGAGTATACAACTCAGGTGTACACTTGCTTCAAAAGGACAAGAGTTAAAAGTTGTAATAGTTCTTAGTTTGAGTAATAATGAAGTAATTCAAGACTCCCAACTTAGACTGCAAATACTAACTGCTAGAAAACAATTACAATTCCAACCCATAGCTTCTGGATCTCCGCAAAAGGCATCTGCTTCGTTCCATTCATAGTGTGTGCTGCACTTGACAAATCCCCAGATTCCACCCCAGGCCTCTACCTGCAGATGCTCAACTAAAACATTTACCTAACTGAACCCGTAAATTTGCAAACTCGTCAATCATTATTTAATATAATTTGTTGTCCCGTTGACAGCTGTCTAACTTGTACTACACAATTCACAGCCATCAAACTGAAATCTTGCCTGGTCTTAAGCAGACCTACTTGTAAGAGTTCCTAATTTCTAGAAATTAGGGACAGATTATTGTAAATATGATAAAAACTGATTTCCTACCTCCAGAAGTTCCAACCCTCTCCAGAAAGCACATATCAATATGGAGGTTCAATTTCACAGGCACTATCATCTTCTAAGATACGAGACTGTCCATCTAAATTCCAGAGCCATGTCATAACCTCTTATTCTTAAGAAAACTTCATCCTACTTTTACCCACCTCACAAACATAAAAGTTCACTGCACAATTTAGTTCATCCTTAAAACGTTCAATCTCCCATACGACTGCCTCTTGAATAGCTCCCAAGCTTTTGCCACAAGGCTCAGCTGAAAGGCAATTCTAATTACTTTTTGTGCGAGATGCTGACTGACATCAGTTCAGAATGACTTTTGTTACATTATGTTTATGTTTCAGTCCATCTACTATTGTTCAATTTTTTTTTACATTGGTATTTTACTGAAACTCAGAATATTCCCTTGAATTTGCCTCCATTCAACACACCCTTCCAGGAGTTCATGCATAATAAATCAGTAACACCAGTTAGTCTATCCCTCCCTAGCCTAGGGTCATGGTGGACAGCAATGGCACCCGACTGTCAAGGCAGAGATTAGCAAAAGCATAGATTGAATTTGACTCAAATCTCACACAGAGCAATGTATCTAGCATAATCATCTTTCAGGAAAGTTAGAAGTATTAATTCAGTGAAAAATATTAAAACATTGCTCTAAGAATTTGCCATCAGTCAATGCTACCCTCTTGGCCTACTCATAGCTCTTAGGTCATTAGATAAACTTTACTACCTTTACACAAATCCTTCCCATTACAGTGTAGAGGAGATCCAGAGCGGCAGCATGCTCTATGCTACTTTTCCACTGAGTGTTTAGTGTCAATAGTCAACAATCATGTGATTCACACAATTATGCGCAATACACAGCCAGACTCAAAGTTATATCTCTATAACTCTCTCCAGAAATACATCAAGTTCAAAATATTAGGTGTTCCACTGGGGTTGCATACAGGTAATTTTCAGCATATAACTGTAAAATAGATCATCAGTAGCAAATAAGAAGGTGTGGAGCTGGATGAACACAGCATGCCAGGAAGCATCAGAGGAGCAGGCAAGCTGACATTTCAGACCCGAATGGTCAGCTTTCCTGCTCCTTTGATGCTGCCTGGCCTGCTGTGTTCATTCAGCTCCACACCTTATCTCAGACTCCAGCATCGGCAGTTCCTACCATCTCATCAGTAGCAAAGTTTAAAAAGCAGAATAAATTAATACATCTTTTGGTTTTCATCAATAGATGAGCCCCAAAATACTTATCAGGGCTAATGAACAATTAGACAAATTAGCTGCCCTTTTTTTGCAATCACTCTCCCTTTGAAAACTCATTTTTAACAAAACATAAAGGACCCAAAGAAATCCACAAACAGTCTAGAATTGAGGATGGACTACAGTCAATATACCATAGACTCTCCCAAAAACCAAGACAAACAACAGCTGATCAAGTTACCAAGAGAGCAATAATAAAACAATGCAATCTGCACATTCACATAATTGTTTCTGAATCAACAATTTCAGCCTCCTGGTCAGAGAGGTATTTTAGTGAAGATAGAGAGAAAAGTGATAATCAAAACAGATTAAAATAGAACTTAGATTGTATGATTCTCCAATCTAGTAAGTAGCACATGCCAGATCAATCTTCCACCAACTGAGGAAGAGTGTATTTGAGAACGAGGGTCATACACCAAAGACTAATGTCATAGTTTACCAAGAAACACTGATCTCAGCTGAGATATGGACAACCTGCAGCAAATATCTCATAGGTACTGGAAGAGTTCAACCAGTAGTGCAATTCATGCACCCTCCAAATTCAGTGGCAAGAAAGGATGTCCAACAGCAGCATCCTCTCCCAAGTCACCTTGCCCAGCATCAAGGCACTAACCATTCAAAACCAGTTCTGATAGGCAACGTGCCATTAGTCTGCAGATGCCAGATTTCCAAAGTGACAGCTCTAATTTGAACTCAGTCCCAGGAGATTCCCATGAAGATAGCAAAAACACTAAGAATGTCCCCAGAACACCCATGAAGAGATAAATCATGCCCTTAATTCATGGCAGACCCTGACTCATGACCAACTAAAATGGAAGTGGCTCATCTAGGAAGACACAAAGTATTGACAGGCTTAGAATTGAGAAGCCACAACTTCAGAGCGAGAACACAAACCTCAAAACAACTCATCTACTCAACCATTCAACCATTACCAGGGTAGACTTTTGTCACAGTGGGCTGATAAGTCTTCTCAGAACTCATTCTACCAGGGTCTCAGCCAGTCACCCCCAATCCTGAGCAACTGCTCAAGACAGAATATACTCTTCCATGCAGACAAGATGACCCAGGGTTCAGTGCTAACTTGGCTCACATGAGCCAGTGTAGCAATTGATGAGGTATAGTTGACTTTGATTCTCCTAGGTACTTTGCCTGGGTGGGGGGGTGGGTGGTGGAGGAGAGTTCCAGGTATGATTCCACCACTGACTTCAGTTTAGTCACTCGTGTGTAGAAGGATTTTGGACAGCTTATAACATTCTAATGTACACTTAATCACTAAAGAAATTAATCCTTCAGAAAATCATGTATAATGCATCATATGCTATGCCAGCAAATCAGACCCTATGAAGATATGAGTCCCAAGTTTCATTTGAAACAAAAACAGAATTTGCTAGAGCAACTCAGCATGTCTGACAGCATCTGTGGAGAAAAGCAGAGTTAATGTTTCAAACTAGCAACACTTCTTCAAACAAGTTTGATTTGTTCTGCAGTCAAGAACAAATGACACTGTCTGGGGCTATCCGGCGAAAGCAGGTGTACTTTCCATCAAGAGAAATTTGGGTGGGTGGGTGGAGGGAAGGAAGATTGAAAATGTTGGCGATAATTCTCTGAACTTCATTTGGGCATCTTGGCATCCAGCCCACAGTAAATGATGCAAAAAGGCCAATTACTGTCAATAACTTAAGGCTGCCCAAAATGTTACATACATAAACACACAAATGTAAGTATATAACTAAATAAATGTTTACCAACACATTGAATTATCTTACAGATTACATCAAACAAATTGTTCAACATTAAAATCTGTTTGTTAAGACAACAGTTGTACACATTTCAGTCTGGTCATCACTCACATATACAGCAATAGAACTCCCAATTCATTAAATATGTCGGTATGAAATTCCCTTGGATCTTTCCCATTCCCATATATTCCCAAACAGCTGCCATTTCCTCTTTTAGTTTCAACAGGACTGTGTGGGTGGCTGAGCTGCGACCAGCATCAGTCTATAATCAGTTAATAGAAAGAATACCGCTGTGAGGACTCCTCTCAATTTTTCACTCAGGTGCTTAACTGCACCTAAGAAGTTGAATACAGTACTGAGTGTGTTTTTAGTTCTCTCAGTTTTCTCTCCAAGAGAATATACTGACATGCCAAAATATTTAACAGTATTAGCTGACCCTTCTGCCCTCAAAGCACAGGAACCACCACATGACCTTAAACAAATAGTCAACAGTAAAACTGATGCCGAAAGTAATTCTGCTATGAAACTAAGCCACAGTATGCAGAGATTCCATTCCAAGTTCCAGTCTCCATTTGTCCTGGGTTGATCTCATCCAGCACAATGGGACAATGACAATGTTTTCAGGAGTAGTGGGTTTGAAGGTGTTAGTTAAATAGCCATGGTACTCAGTCAACATACCAACATTCAAGATGCTGCCAGACCTGCTGAGCTTTGCCAGGAATTTGTTTTTCTTTCAATTTCCAGCATCCACAGTTTTTTTTGTTTAATGAAGAACGCAATCAAACTTGCTTGTGTTACCAAATTAAACATTCTGCCAATAATCAGTTCTCACATGAAGAATGGCTACTTGGATGAACTGCTACCACCTGTGGAACCACATCTCGAGCAAAAGGTGAAATGTTCTTTAAAGGGGGCAAAAATTGCAAGTCAGGATGGGATTCAACCTTCAAAAAGGTGCAGTTTTGCACTAAACCAACAATAACCCATCAAAAATAGTCAGGTTTTCCATCCATTTTAACAAAGTAACAAAAAGGGTCCGAGTGCAGATGCTTTACATTTTAAATTTTAATAGTAAACACATGTAACTTTACACTGCATCAGAAAGGTCCAAATCCAAGAGCAAAGCATCTCGAGTTTGTAAACGCTACGCAGTACAGTGACTGGGGCGGGGGGAGAAACACAGGTAACGTTTTCTGTCTCTACGATCTTTGCGAAATGATTTCATGTATCCTCTAAAATCCTAGCATAAACTGCGTGGCTCAAAATGCATTCTGAAAACAATTCGTGTATGCTGGATTTAAAAAGCCAATAAATTATAAACTAGTTAACGAAAGGGCGTTTAATCAGCATCAAAACTTCCGATTTTAACAAGAGATGCCTGTTGCTACTAAAGTCCTTTGTGTTGACCCCAGTATTAGTATTTTGGGTACACTGTTGCCAAAAAGTTCCAAAAGAAAACAGAATAAAAGTATCTATATTTATCACTTGGAGCGATGATGGGAACTCTACACAAGCCCAATGTGGGACACTTAAAATTATCTACTTACCACCACCAGGAGTGTAAAAACCCAGGAGGTTCTCCTAATGTGATATTTTTCTCCCATCGTATCTGCAAAATTTAAAAAAAACTCGGAATAAGTACGGAAGGAAACGGGGGAGAAGGGAGCGAGGGCAGGCTGCATTGAGAACTAGTCAGCTGAATGGATTTTTTTTTGTTTTTGTAGCCACAATAAATGGCAAAAGGTTAACACAATTCAAAATGGAGGCGAGATTGTCCGCCTGAGAAACAAAGGCTAAAGCGGAGTGATGGAGACATGCAGTTACCTCTGAGAGGAAGGTCTGTGCGGATTTCTGTGCCCCGACATGAAGCAGATATTCGTACACGTACAGAGCCAACCTGCGGGCGAAGGAGACACAAAGGAGCCGGTTACAAGGCTTTCTATTTATTACACGGGAATGCAGAGAGAGAGAGAGAGAGGGAGAGAGCAAGAGAGGAGCTGGGGGTTTGTCAGCGAGCGGCACTACACCCAGGCAGCCCCGCCGGACACAATGTTTCATTCAGTTTCTTTAGAGAAGCGGAAACGCACAGCGTGCAAGTCAAACACAAATACTAATGATAATAATAATGAAAAGAGATTTAATCCCCGGGATCTGCAGCGGCCGCTGTCTGGCCCCGGGGAGCCAGTAAAACGGTGAGCAAATTCCTTATCTTTGTTATAACAAAAATTAAACTTACTTTTCTCGAGCTTGCCCATCCGAGGGCACCGCCGAACCTTTGCTTTTGGCGAACATGCTTTTTGGGGAAGGAGCTGCCTGGCGGTCGGGCACCTGTCAAACCATCAAACCCGGGGCGACCCCATCGCCGCGTCCGCGCACGCAGCCCAGCCCCGGCAGCGGAAAGGGCGGCCGCGAGCCCCGCCCCCAACCATCCGGAGTGACGGGAAAGTGCACCAACCGGCGCCCACCACCCTGCGTCAATCACCCACTCAGACCAATCGCCATCTGCTCCTTCTTGTCAATCTGCCGCCGCCTGCCCCACGGTCTCGCCAATCAGAGGTAGGTGAGTGGGCGGGAGCTTCCCGCTGGAGTGACTGGCCAGTTTGGTTACAGAGACCGGCTGTGCTGATTGGCCGGCGGTTCAGATACATCGACAAGGGGGGGAGCCTCGAAACCGTGCACCCGGGAGTTTCTAAAACCCCCTCCCCTTATGCTATTCCGGGCGAGGGCGGCATTCCCCCTGCTCGGTGGCTGCTGTGAAAACCTGGTGCGGAATTACGCATTCAGTACAAACAAACACTAAACACAATCCTATTGTTTAAATCTCACTCCTTTCTCCTGGTGCATTCATTTTATGTTGTGTTTGAGCTTTCTGCACATTACATTTTTTTCTCGAGTTATTTTCGCTTAATAATTAGCATGTTATCGATGTGTATTTGAAAAGCAATTTTTCTGCTTTAACAAAGTCTACCTCTCCCCTCAGAAGACCCCCCCAACCAACCGCACACCCCATCCCTTGGGCACTGAAAAAGAGAGGCAAGGTTCATACAGAGTTAACTGGAGATCTGCAGAAAATCCGATCCCGATTACTTGGTTTTAAAATCAATGTTGTAAATTCCCAACTCATGAACAAAAGCACATGAAGCGCAAAGCATGTGCTTCAGGTAAAAATACAACGCGCGGAGACAGAATAGAGCCGCACAAAACTCATACATTATTCGCGATGTTCTAATATCTTCTTGTGTGGCGGAATACATTTAGCTCCCTTTTAAGGCTCCCTTGTGTGAATAAGGGAACGAGAAACGCAACAGTTTGGAACTGATCGAAACCGGTTTGCACGCACGTGATATGCAGTACAGTAGTTTTCCATTCAGATGGACCTGATCCTCCAAACTGCAACTCATTCAGGAAGAGACCCGGGAAGCAGTGGCGTTTCCCAGTTTGCTAAAGCCTTAAGATCGTAACCATATCAGACTTCCATCCAAACACAGTGAAAAAGCAAGAGCCATCCTGTGCACAATCATTGCGAGGTTTAACCGTCTCGACCCAACGTTTAACTTCTGCAGCTTCCAGGATTAGTAAATTATTCAGAACCGGCTTCCTGTGTACATAAAGCATAAATATATGCAGATTAATCTGTAATTTGTGTGACCACAACCAGAATTATTGTTTGAATCTATGAGTCTTGCCTTGGGACGGTTTCAAATTAACCGTATTTTTTTTTACAAAGTCTGGGTTTTTTTTTGTACATGCAACCGTGTAACCACTTTGAAATAGAACCCAGTTAAAATACCTGTTTTACTAATATTGTTATGCAACAGTCAAAACCATCCCTTTTTTAAAGATGTCACTGTTCTTAGTTCTGAACAGTAATTAATTGCCTTGTGAACAATTATTTCGAGGGTTTTTTAAAGACGAAAAGCCCAAATCTTGAACCATATCCTTGGACCTTTATTTTAAACCCAACGTTACATAGCGTTAATTGGGCTGCGCAAATACATCCGGTGAATCGAGGTTTGGATAGCTAACTTAAAATGGTCGTTTTAATGACCTTTAATGCCAGCCTATGGAATCTGAATTTGGGGAGACTATCATAAATCTTCATATGTGAACCTAATACCGACTGTAATTTGCATAACCACAGCCATGCAAGCTGCAACTGAATACTAGCACAGTTATTTGCTATTTTCCATACTCACCTCTTAAAGTCGTCTAGCACAACTATGCATTGTGCTTTAGGGGCTGAAGGTTTCTATTCAACAGCTATTCTGACAAAGACTCTACACGTGGAACTTGCCCTTGTTTTTACAGATACTAACAATTTTTTTAATATTTTGGTTTCATTTCAGATTCCTTGTACTGTATTTACAATTTTTCGCAATTGAGTTAACAACAGTGCTGTAAAGTACTAAGACCAAAATCTACTGGTTACTTTTGCTTTAGTATTTTATTTTTATGTAGGCATATTAGTTCATATCACTAATTTCAGCACAAAATTCAAAAACAGGCTTCAAGTTCTGCCATGAGGTAAAGGATATTTCCCACAAAGCATTTTAATAATTTGTGATAAGAAAAAAACTTCAAAACCCCATATATGTCAACATCTCTTGCTTTGGATCCTGCAATTTTATGCAACTTCTGCTTCATTTGGTTTCTTAGACAGCACATTCCATGCTATATAGACTTTGCATCATTCAATGAGATAGAATTAATAACTATATCATGGTAAAGGTGCCCCTAAATAGCAGCTATCACAATATGATGAATTTTACATTCAGTTTGAGGGAGAGAGAGTGGGTCCGAGACCAGGATCTTAAACTTATTCAATTCTGAACAACTGTGAGAGCATGAAAGCAGAGTGAACTACAGTGAACTGACTAATTAAGTTAACAGATAGGCCAGTAGAGATGCAGAGGCAGACAATAAGGGATATATTTAAGAGTAAAATAGAATAGATTCTAACGAGAAAAAAAAAATCCAAGGGGTAGACCACCATCCATGGTTAATTTAAAATAAGTTGAAGATGACACAAAACTTTAAAAAACACATAATTGCACAAAGATGGGTGGTATATGATTGGACAGAATATAAAAAAAAGACCAAAAGATTAATAAGGTGGACCGGGGAGGAGTACAAAGGAAAACTAGCTAGAAATATTAAAACAGATAATGATGGTTTCTATAGGTAATAAAAGACATAGGGAAATGAATATTCATTCTACTGATGGGAAATTAAGTTAAGCCTGCCCTCTCCAGCAGACTCAAACAATGTAATAGATGAGCCAGAGAAGTGCACAGTATACCAAGGCAGCGTGCTTTATTATGATTGAATTTATCTGGTCAAATGTTGGGATTTGGAAGACTTTTTTTCTGTGAAGTTATGCTAAGTCCTTCAGTTCTGGAATGAGCTGTCCATGACATAATTTTATTGATACCCTAAAAGTAATCTTCAAGTCCTTGCACTTGCTTCTCTCTCATGTACCTCATAATGAATTTTCACAGTGTTTGTGTAAGGTAGGATGAAATTTTCAGGTGGCATTACAAGTTTTGAAACTCAGATTTAATCAATGAGATTCAAGAATTTTGCCAATCATTTATAGTTTGATTCCTAGATTTTTTTTCATTCTTGTTGTCATGCTACTCAATTATTACAATAATTCAATGAAAGACTTGAAATAATTGGTTTCATTAAATCTCCTCAATTATGGCCTTTGCAGCCAGTTCAACATAATGAATTCAGCAATTGCAGGTAACAAATGATCTTTGAAACTAATTCTTAAACAGCAATGGCTTCTTTGGTTTATTCTAAACATGTATGTTATTTCACATTCTTATCCAAATTTCTTGCAGATGTCTCATTATCCCACATGTTTTAAAGCATACTAGAAAACCTAAGTTGATTACAGTGGCTGTGATTCTTAATAGTAAAGCTTAATCAAGTCCAGGAAGACCGTGATCAGTTTATAATTTCAAGACATAACATGCAGATACAAATCATTGTTGATAGATTACTGAGGATTGTGCTTTCATTAATGAAAACATTTCTTGATACTCTATTATTTTATTCAGAACTTACTTCACTGCCAAATATGCATTTGTCCTGTACTTCAGACATTTTTTTGTCTGTTTTTTGTTACTTTCCGTTCTGATTTTTCCCTCAATCTATTCTTTAACTGTACAGTCTCTACACATTTGGTTATGTTCTTAATGGAGAAGCACTGAGTATTCCAGATTGGGATTCTCCAAAACTAGTTATGGAAATGCCTTTTTGAAATCACATCTACTGTTCGCTTCTCTGTTTAATCAGGGAGCTAAGAACAAACCAGAGAATCAACAGGGCTCCCCAAGGTCAGTTCTGGGTTCGTGTCTCTGTGTTCTGGCATAACCCGCCTATCATGTTCAAAAATATGTTCGTTCCAGCAATCAAGGTCACATTCAGTCACAATCAAAGTTTCACAGATAGATGCTCCCAGACATTGAATGCTTACTGTAGAATGTTCAGTTTCAAGGTTTGTAATTTATCCATGTTGTTTCTTTGCATTAGACATATATAAGAACAGAGTTGATTGTAACTGATTTTCAGGCATTTTGAGTTACATGCACAAGGTAAAGGTGTAGCAATATTCATTTTAACTCTGTCACTGCCTAATTTTCATTTAGATTTTTTTGATCAATCCTGTTAATTGAAGTATTGAATCTTAACTCAATTGCCTTTTGTCGTTGCAATGCCCCACCTCTAACTACACTGTGGGACAAAAAGCCCCAACTGTGACAATATGAAACTAAACTATTTTTGTACATAAATTAGAATACAGGCATACATCTCATAGGAACATAGGAATAGGATTAAACCATTCAGCCTCTCAACGAGGGGCTATCAACGAGGTCATAGCTAATCTGTGGCCTAACTCTATATACCTGTCCTTGGCCGGATCCCTTAATACCTTTGCTTAACAAAAATTTATCTATCTCAGATTTAACACAAACAACTAATCCTGCATCCACTGCCATTTGTGGAAGAGGGTTCCAAACATCTACCACCCTTCCTAATTTGTCTCCTGAACAGACTTTCCCTAATTCTCAGAAAGGATATATTGGCCACAGAGGGAGTACAACGTAGGTTTGTGAAAATGATACCTGGACTTCAGGGGTAAGTTTTGAGGAGACATTATATACATTAAGCCTGTCTTCTCTAGAATTTAGAAGGTTAAGGGGTGATTTGATTGAAGTCTTCACGACATTAACAGGAAAAGACAAGGTAGATAAAGATAAACTATTTCCACTAGTTGGGAATTCTAGAACTGGGGGCATAGTTTTGGAAAGCAGAAGAAATTCCTAGTTAGCCATATGATGAAAATAAATTGTACCTTCTACTATCACTATCCATAACTCCAGGCTGCAACATGTGTGTAAAAGTGATGTTGTCATAGAAACTCATACTACTTTTGGGCCAGTGGCTCAGTTGACTGGACTGCAAGTATGAATTGGAATGGTGCCAATAGCATGGAGTTCAATCCCTATTCTGGCCAAGATAGATCCAGTACTCCTTCCTTGATCTAACGGTGGGTTGGACCTGATTCCTGGCAGGGAACTCCAGAAGAAGACTAGATGTCTTGTTCCTGCTGTGCACCCTGCCTGCTTTCTAGAAAGTGAGTGTTCATACTGCTCTATGTTACTTGATATTCTATCTCCACTCTTGCCTTTCGTTGGGTGTGTTCTACACTCACCAGGCTCTGTGCTAAAACAAACATTGGCAAACATTTGCTTGGCCTGCTTCCACAAATTGGCTATCATCATTAAGGTTAAAAAACACAGATCAGTCTACTTAAAATGGTTAGTCATAGACTTTAACTGGAGTCTTAGTGGGATCTATTTTAGTTTGCCACCGAAAAATTCTAAAATATATATACTAAACATGGACATGCAGTATATGTGCAAAGATTGGCCTCAACAACCTTGAGATAAGTAGCGGAAATCAGCCAATATTCTCAGTATCTTTAATCTTCTATACTTTCTCAAAAGTGAATACTTGTTCGTCACTTGTGATGCCCTCAGAGTTAAATAGTGTGCTGATAATCACTCTCTCAACTTGCTCACATACAAAGAATAGCCAGTTGGTCACGGTAACAGAAGATGGCAAACACCTTACAATTCCAAGGCACTGGGTTACCTTCCGTATCACACACAAGAACCTTTTTTAAATGTGAACTAGCCTATTCAACTGTGAGGCCATCAAAAGCAACTTAATACTCTTCTGACTTAATATACTTCAACTTGCACTCTCAGCAGGTGATATCTGAAACATTACCCAGAAGTACTGACATAATTTGTACCTACAATGGTAACGCAGTTCAGCTAGCTTAATACAGGTGAAGAATCACCTGTCTGGTGTGGCTCAGTACCAAACCAGAGTGAAATTTCTCCCAAAAATCACTGAGCAGTCTTATTTTCAGTTTTTATCTATTGTATTACCTCATTTTCTTATAAGTTATATTGTATTGCTTTTAAACTTGATCAAATGAAGGGGTTTTCTGTTTCAATGGAAAAGATTAGAGCATAATAAACTCTTCAAAGTTTCCTTTGATCAATGACCAATGTAAAGGGCAATTTCAGATTCGAGATGCTTCATTAGTTACAGAATAAGTGTTCCTTTATATTTCCAGTTAGATGTATCATACAGAAATTAACAAAACTGCTTATTGTAGCTGAGTCTCAAGATAGTGTACCTGAACCATCTGAGATCTCCCTTATAATGCTCAAAGTCTAAATTCCATTTTCAGTTTGTTTTGTGTGAGAAAAGTACATGATTCTGAATACATTTCAGGGTTGTTGATGGTTGCCTCTCAGCCAATACAGTTCAGATCAAATCTATTAGAATGTTGGCACTGAATTAAATCTCACTTGGGTTCAATCAGTATTCCTACAGTATGGGAGGATTTTCCTATAAAACAAACAGAGCGTAGGAAAAAGCAAAATGAATGAGGATTATACGAAGGGCAACATAGTTTATATACAGGATAACACTCAGGTTCCACTAGAGATGTAGAGAGCACAACAAGTGATGGAGAGCTAGTACAGTAATGAATAGTCTCGGGGAAGGGGGACATTTTCATCTTTCGTTTCCCCGAACTGCAAAAGTGTGTTAGCCCACAGTGTGCCCTTTATGTGCAAACTGTAACCTCCATATTCCACAGTGAATCATTGACACCAGCGCTTTTCCTGCCCCTACAATGAATCCTGGTGTCACTCCATTCCATTTGTGCTGAGTCAGGCTGCGGGCGGGGAAGCTGTGGTATTAATGAGATGTTACAGGAAGTTCCCTTTTAACAGGATTGCCTTTGAGGTTACTGAAATCTAATGGCTAATATAACCAAAACAAGTAGTAGCAATTTTGTGTTTTGAACAAAACCTACTACACATTAAACAAACCAATATTTGTGAAAATTAGACAAGTGAATGAGTAACATTGTAACCGACATCCAACTGCGTGGCTGGGACTGAGAATCTCATTCAGGAGGGAATTATTATAATACTATGGAACTGGGCCATGTTGGAAGACCAAGCGTTTATTTTAAAACGAAACTTAATTTATTAACCATGAATTTGAATTGTCTCCCAACCTTTCCCTCAAAAGGAACTTACCCATTGTAGGTCGTATTGTATCTAACTGGCTGTTCCTTGTATATCAGATGTGTGTTAACAGCCCATCCGAGCCCTGGGTATATTGTTATCTGGTACATGGGTAGCAGGAACCACGGAGTAGTGATACAGTTTAGAAACCTTGACTCGTTCTTACCTCTCCCTTATCAGAAGTCATCCTGCTGTACAGCAAATTCAGCTCTTATGGGAATCAGTCCAGGGTCTCCCTGGCGTGCACAACTTGGTGCTGCACCAGGCGATGCGTGTTGCCATCTGCAGTCAGGAGGATATGCACTTTGTAGTTTGACTGCCTGCTTTTCAGATTCACTCAACTGCTCCGATTTTCTCCCACAGTCCAAAATTGTGCGGGTTGGGCAGATTGGCCATGCTAAATTGCCCATAGTGTCCAGGGATGTGCAGGCTAGGAGGGTTAGCTGTGGGAAATGCAGGATTACAGGGATAGGGTTGGGGGCTGGGTGGGATGCCCTTCGGAGAGTCGGTGTGGACTCAACACGGTGGGGATTCTATGATACATTGATGATTTCACAGCACACCCACAGACACAGTATGAGTCAACAGCGCTTTAACTGAGGGTCAGATGTAAGGACCTCAAATGTTACGATCTTAAGGTGATTGTTGTAACACTAACTTGCCAGAACAGAATAGTGGGGCTATTGTGGTGACCGCTGAAGTGTGTGGCTGTATTCCTGCAGCGTGAACGCAAGTAATTCTTCTTCTTTGCGTCACATTGCCTGAGCGCACTGACTGTGGCCACAGAGACAGCAGCTCACCTCAGTATTCTGCCAGCATTGGCTTCAACAAGCTAAGCAGAATATGCAATAGGCTAGGGATATCGCGTTTTAAATTTTCCGATCCCACTTCTCTATCAAAAATGCCTCGCCACCACTGGAGTCTTCTCCACAGTAATAAGATCAAAGACTGCAGAATGGAGGAACTGAGCTTGTATTTCCCATTGATTCCTTCGACAGAATCCTGTACGACGCCATTTCATTATTCAGGTAGTTACCCGCTGTGAATTGATGACATTTTGGCATTGGTGATCACACTGTATCCGCAAAAATCATTGGTATATTGCGATCACGACCTCAAGCCATCCAAAGTGTTTTGCAACCAATTAACTTGTTTGAAGTGCAGGCATTGTTGTAATGTAGGATGAGGACAACGAAGCTTATCTCCTCAGATGGTTTTATTCAATAAGTCGAACAGATCAGAAATAAAACAAAGAAATGTTCGTCTCCAATCTGTATTGTGCCAGCGGACCTTTAAAGGGGCAGTGGCAGGGACACTACAATTTGATTCATCATCTTAAGGAGCAGGGAGGTGAGAACCAGACAAGAATCGCTCCTGATCTTCATCCCCACTGAAGGTGCTAATGTTGGACACTGGCTAAGGTTAGAAACAAGTTTGCAATATTGGCCTTAAGTATAGTATTTTAGCTAAAGGTGATTCCAGTCTCCTTTTTGGCTAATTGTTCAGGCTAAACCCAATTAAGGATTAGTTTGTTTGAATCTAGTATCAAAGTAACATATAGAACATTACAAAGATCACAATTGTCTACCTAAGACCAGAAGATGGAGGAACAGAATTAGGCCATTTGGCCTATCAAGTCTGCTCTGCCATTCGATCATGGCTGATATGTTTCTCAATCCCATTCTCCTGTCTTCTCCCTATAACCATTAATCCCTTACCAGTTAAGAATGTCTCTATTTCTGGCAGCATCTGTGGGAAGAAAGCTGAGTTAACATTTCAAGTCTGGTGATTTTAACTCTGCTTTCTTCCCACAGAAGCTGCCATACCTGCTGAGTTTCACCAGCAATTTCTGCTTTTGTTTCAATCTCCAGCATCTGCTGTTGTTTTTTTCAATTTTACCTATCCATCTCTGATTTAAATACAGTCAATGACTTGGCCTCCACAGCCTTCTGTGATAATTGAGTTCCACAGATTCACCACTCTGTAGCTAAAGAAATTCCTTCTCATCTCATGTCCCTTCACTCTGAAGTCAGCCCTCAGGTCCTAGTCTCTCCATCTTCTCCATATCCGCACTATCCAGGCCTCTCGGTATTCTGTAAGATTCAATGATATCACCCCTCATCCTTTTGAACTCCATCGAGTAGAAACCCAGAGTCCTCAACCACTCCTCATATGACAAGCCCTTCATTCCTGGGATCATCCTTGTAAACCTCCTCTGGACCCGCTCCAACAAACAGCACATCTTTCCTTAGATACGGGGCCCAAAACTACCCACAATATTCCAAATGAAGTCTGACAAAGCCTTATACAGCCTCAGCAGTACATCCCTGCATTTGTATTGAGATGAATGTTAACATTGCATTTGCCTTCCTAACTGCCAACCAAACTTGAATGTTAACCTTAAGCAAATCCTGAACTAGGATTCCCAAGTCCCTTTGTGCTTCAGATTTCCAAAGTCTTTCCCCACTTAGAAAATAGTCTATGCCTCTACCTTTTCTACTGAAGTGTACAACTTTACACTTTCCCATATTGTAATTCATCTGCCACTTCTTTGCCTACTCTTCTAGCCTGTCCAAGTTCTTCTGCAGCCTCCCCACCTCCTCAGCACTATCTTTCTCTCCAGCTATCTTTGTGTCTTCTGCAAACTTAGCAACAATGCCCTCAGTTCCTTCAACCAGATCATTAATGTATAATGTGAATAGTTATGGTCCCAACATGGATCCCTGCAGAACTTAACTGGTCACTGGGTGCCATCGTGAAAAAGACCCCTTTATCCCACTCTCTGCCTTATGCCAGTCAGCCAATCGTCTATTCATGCCAGTACCTTGCTCCTAACACGATGGCTCCTACCTTATTTAGCAGCCTCCTGTGTGGCACCTTGTCAAAGGCCTTCTGAAATCCAAATAAATCATGTCCACTGGCACTCCTTTGTCTAATTTGCTCATTACCTACTCGAAGAATTCTAACAGATTTATCAGATATCTCCTCTCCTTGATGAAGCCATGCTGACTCAGCCCTGTTTACCATGCACTTTAAAGTACTCTACAATCTCATCCTTAATAAATGGACTCTAAAATCTTACCAATGATAGAGGTCAGGCTAACCAGCCTATAGTTTCCTGTGTTCTGCTTCCCTCCTTTCTTAAACAGGGATGTTACATTAGTCACTTTCCAATCCTCTGGAACCCCACCTGACTCCAGGGATTCCTGAAAGATCACTAATGCTTCTACAATCTCCTCAGCTATTTCCTTCAGAACTCTGGGGTGTAGTCCATCTGGTCCAGGTAATTTATCCACCTACAGACCTTTCAGCTTCCCCAGCACTGCCTCTTTAGTGATGGTCACTACTCTCACCTCTGGCCCTGACTCTCTTGAAGTGCTGCTCGTGTCTTCAACCATGAAGAATGATACAAAGTATCTTTTCAGTTTTTCCACCATTTGTTTGTTCCCCATTATGAACTCAAGTCCCATTTTCCAGCGATCTAATGTTCACTGTTGACTTTCTCTTACCTTTTATATATCTAATAAAAAAACTTCTGCAATCTTATTTAATATTACTAGCTAGGTTACACTCATCTTTCATCTTCTCCCCCCTCCCATTGCCTTTTTTTTCAGTCCTCTTCTGGTTTTTAAATGTTTCCCAATCCTCTGGATTCCCATTACTCTTCACAACGTTGTATGCTTTTCTTTTGCTTTGATGCTGGCCCTGATTTCCTTTGTCAGCAATGGTTGCTTAGTCCTTCCCTTGGTGTGCTTCTTCTTTGGGAAGAAATTCTGCTGTGCCTCCAAATTACCCCCAGAAACTCCTACCATTGCTGCCCCACCTTCTTCCCCACTAAGCTCCTCTTCCATTCAACTCTGACCAGCTCCTCCCTCATATCTTTGTAGTTACCTTTACTTAATTGTAATACCATTACATCTGATTCCAGCTTCTCCCTCTCAAACTGCAAGGTCAATTCTATCATATTACGGTCACTACCCTCTAGGTGTTCCTTCACCTTAAGCTCGCTAATCAAGTCTGCCTCATTTGCACATCACAAAATCCAGAATTGCATGTTCCCTAGTGGACTCTACCACAACCAGCTCCAAAAAAAAAACAGCTCATAGACATTTTATAGATTCCTTATCTTGAGATCCACTACCAACCGGATTTTCCCAGACCACCCACATATTGAAATTCCCCATGATTATTGTAAATCTGCCTTTCTTACATGCCTTTTCTATCTCCTGATTTATTTTCTGTCCCACAACCTGACTACTACTAGGAGGACTGTACACATCTCCCATCAGGTTCTTCTTTCCTTTGCTCGACACACACAGATTCTACACCTTCCAACTCTGTATCACTTTAATTTCATTTCTTACTAACAAGGCAACTCCACATTTTCTGCCCATATGCCTGTCCTTTTGATAGGATAATTTAGTTACAAGTCCTAATGCCCTTACAGCCACATCTCTGTGATACCACAACATCATACCCATTAATATCAGTGCACTACCAGCTCATTTACCTTGTTTCGTGTACTGGGTATATTTAAGTACAATGCCCTCAGTCCTACATTGACTGTCACTTTCTCATAGTTGTCCTCTTACCTGCTGTGCCTGAAATATAGAAAGATAGAAGATAGGAGCAGGAGGAGGCCATTCAGCCCTTTGAGCCTGCTCTGCCATTTTTCACGATCATGGCTGGTCATCCAACTCAATAGTTTAATCCTGCTTTCCCCCATAACCTTTGACCCCATTTGCCCCAACTGCTATACCTAGTCACCTCTTGAATACATTCAATGTTTTGGCATCAACTACTTCCTGCAGTAATGAATTCCACAGACTCCATCACTTTTTGGGTGAAGAAATGTCTCCTCATCTCCATTCTAAATCATCTACCCCGAATGCTCATACTGTGTGACCCCTAGTTCTGTACACACCCATCATCGGGAACATCTACCCTGTCCAGTCCTGTTAGAATTTTACAAGTCTCTATGAGTTTCCCCCCTCATTCGTCTGAACTCTAACAAAAACAATCCCAACCTAGTCAATCTCTCCTCATACGTTAGACCTGCCATCCCCGGAATCAGCCTGGTAAACCTTTGCTGCACTCCCTCGAGAGCAAGACCATCCTTCCTCAGAAAAGGAGACCAAAATTGCTCTCAATAGTCCAGGTGTGGCCTCACCAAGGTCCTGTACAACTGCAACAACACATCCCTGCTCCTGTACTCAAAACCTCTCGCAATGAAGGCCAACTCTAGGCCCGAAACGTCAGCCTCTCTGCTCCTATGATGCTGCTTGGCCTGCTGTGTTCATCCAGCCCTGCACCTTGTTGTCTCGGATTCTCCAGCATCTGCAGTTCCTACTATCTCTGATACCATTTGCCTTCTTTACCACCTGCTGCACCTGCATGCTTACCTTCAGCGACTGGTGCACAAGGACACCCAGGTCCCGCTGCACACTCCCCTCTCCCAATTTAGAGCCATTCGAGTAGTGACTTGCCTTCTTGTTTTTGCTTCCGAAGTAAATAACCTCATATTTATCCAAATTATACTGAAGTTAGATTCCTGAGCTTTTCTGTACTCTCTGTCCTATTACTTGTTCTGGAAACTTTAATAACCTCTGCTGAGCCCTTCCCACTTTTAACTTTTTCCATCGTTTCCCGTGCAACTGAAACTACACACCCACTATTTAATTTAAAGCCCTATCCACAGCCCTAGATATGCGATTCTCCTGGACTCTGGTCCCAGCATGATCCAGGTGGCGCTCATCCCTTTGGAACAGTTCCCTCCTTCCCTCATACTGATACCAATATACCATGCATTTGAACCCGTTTCCCCCACACTAATCTTTGAGCCACACATTTACCTCTTTAATCTTGTTGACCCTGTGCCAGTTTGTTCATATCTCAGGTAGTAATTCAGAGAATATTAGCTTTTTGGTTCTGCTTTTTAATTTAGCCCTTAGCTGTTCATATTTCCTCAGCAGAACCTCTTTCCTCTTTTGACCTATATCATTGGTACCTATGCGCCTGCAACAACTGAATCTTTCCCCTCCCACTCCAAGTTCCCCTGCAGTCCGAGATATCCTGAAGGAGCAAATTACTGCAGATGCTGGAATCTGCAATAAAAACAAAACATGATGGAAATCACAGAGGGTCAGGCATCATCCATGGAGAGAAAGCAAGTGAAAATTTCGAATCGAGATGACTCTCCGTCAGGTATCCCGAACCCAGGCACAGCCAGGCAATGCATTTTTAGGATTCTTAATCCTGGTCACAGAGAACAGTATCTAATTCTCAGACTATAACCATCCCCGATTGTAACTACATTTTCGTTCCCCCTCTTGAATGGTACCCTGTACCACAGCGCTATGGTCAGTTTGTTCTCCCTCCCGATAGGCCCCACTCTAATCCACACAGGGAGTAAGAATCTCAAACCTGTTCTGCAAGCTCAAGGGCTGAGGCTCCTTCAGCACTATCTCCTGGATTCCTCTATCTGCCTCACTCGTACTCACATCCTCCTGTCCCTGGCCAGTGACCAAATTCGAGGTTAGTTAATCAAAGGGGTGTGACTGCCTCCTGAAACACAGCTTCCAGGTAACTCTCCCACTCCACCACAATATCACCTTGTCTTTTGTCTCTCATATCTCTGTTGAAAATTCCAATTGTGCCTTCATCATTTGCGGCATCAAAGTAACTAATACTTGCTGGAGAAACTCAGAAGATCTGGCTGCATCATGATCTCAAGCCATCCCAAAATACTTTTCAGAATTTCAGTTCTGATGAAGGGTCACTGGAGCCAAAATGTTGATTCTGTTTCTCATTCCTCGGTGCAACAAATACAATATTTAAAAGGCATTTGGACAGGTACATATACAGAAAAGGTTTAGAAGGATACGGGCCAAATGCAGGCAAATGGAACTAGTTCAGTTTGGGAAACCTGGTCGGCACGGAGGAGTTGGACCAAAGGGTCTGTTTCTATGCTGTATGACTCCAAAAGATACTGCCAGACCTGCTGTGTTTTTCCAATGATTTCTGTTTTTTGTTTCAGTTCTTCAGCATTTGCAGTTCTTTGCTTCATCACTGTAACCAGTGCTTTCCTCTTTTTGTAAATTCCATCCTCCAACAATTCATCCAGACTTAGTCCAGTTCATTTAGAACAAAATGTGAGTTTGACTTGTTTAGGAATAAATTATTTGTCACAGAAGCAGAAACCTTATTTATGAGCATTAAACATTGTTTCCTCAGTTTTACTATGAAGGCTCCCCAACCCCCTTTCACTGCCCCTCTGTAATTTCCTCTCCCCACCTCCCTCTCTCCCCACCCTCTCTCCAACTCTGTCTACCCTGCCCTCACTCTCCCCAACTCCCTCCCTGCCCCTTTCTCCCCCTCCTTCTCTCCCTCTGACCCTTTCTCTCACCTCCCTCTTCCCCCCTGCCCTTCTTTCCTCTCTCCCCGGGCCCTCTCCCTCTCCCCCTCCCTCCCCCCCCCTCTCTCCTTCCCCCCTTTCCCCTTGCCCCTCTCTCCCTTGTCCATTCCTCTCCCCGCCTCCTGCTCCTCTCTCTTTTTCCCGCTGCCCCTCTCTTCCGCTGCCCCGCTCTTCCACTGCCCATCTCTCCCCTGCCCCTCTGTCTCCCTTCCCTCTTTCCACTTGCCCCTCTCTCCTTCTCTCGCTGCCCCTCTCTTCCACTACCTATCTCTCCCATTGCCCCTCTCTCTCCCTTCCCTCTTTCCCCTCCACCTCTCCTGCCCCTCTCTCCCACTGCCCATGTCTTCCATTGCCCCTCTCTCTCCTCCCTCTTCCCCCGTGCCTCCTCTCCCTTGTCCCTCTCTCTCCCTATCCAGCCGCTCTCTTTTTTTCTCGCTGCCCCTCTCTCCCCTGCCCCTCTCTCTCTCCCCTCCCTCTCTTCCCCGCCCTTCTTCCTTTCTCCCCTCCCTCTCTCCTACTTCCCTTTATCTCCTGCCCTTGTTTCTCTCTTCCCCCAGCCTCGGGTTTGAACTCGACGGGTTACAGTGGGTGGAGACCTGCGAGTGTAGACGCCTCCTACCGGGCACACACCCTTCTGGCTGTCTCTCTCACCCCCATATGCTCCAACATGGGCCTTTCCCCTCCCATTTTATCGCAAGCTGCTTGTCTTTCGGTTTTTCTTTTCTGTCAGTCCCCACTAGCTCTTTATTTTCTCCTTTATTCTGCATTTTTCCTATTTCTGCATCACTCTATCTTTCACTCATTCACTCGCTCTATTTTTCTCTCCATACTCCCTCTTCCTCTCATTCTTCTCTCACTCTCTCATCCCCCCTCTCCATTCGCCCAATTTTTTCCTAATTCCTCCATTTATTTATTTTCCTCCCACGCATTCACTCCCCTCCTCTCACGCTTATCCTTCCTCTTCCCCTTCATTTTCAAAATGAGGATATTATTATCTAGGTGCAAGGCCCTGGAGAGTCGAGGCGATGAAAAGTTTCTGCTTTCTCTTTACCTCCTTTTCAACCAGTTTGTAATCTAGATCCTTTTTTTTACATTCACGTAAGATCTATTCCTCGTAAATGCATTCTTAAAGAGCTCTGAATGCAAAAAAAAATGCTAAAGATCACACTAACAGCCTTGTAAAGTATACCTGGGCCTCAGTACAATACCTTTGTACAATGTAAAGTGTAACGGTGAGGCAGTCCGGACATTGTATATACCCGTGTTGCACATTGCGATATGGCTAGCAGCTTTCAGTCCGAAAAGTACATTTAAAGTGTGAGCGACGCGCCATCTGGTGGCAGCTGTAAACCACTAGTCCTGGCGGGCCCCACTTAATCTGCGGAAAAAATACTGCAGATAAAATCTACACTTAATGCTATAGGTCCTATCAAATTATTGCTACACGAATATTTTCATATTAATGTTCTGGGAATGAGATGTGCTCCATTTAATGCTACAGATTTGACCTGTTTGACAATAAACTGCCATTCATGTTACAGTAAAATTTTAAGTAGAATCAATGTTAATGTCTGCACAATCTCCAGTTATGCTACTAAAATGGTCACAGGTAATGATTTCGGAAACTTGCAGTTAATCTTACAGGAACAATTAATGTTGCAATGCTATAAAGAACCTGGTAATTTTTTTGGTATAACCTATAGTTGATCTTTGGGAATAATCACCTGTATTACTACAGGAAATCTGCAGCCATTGCTGGTTGCTGTAGGTACAATCAGCTTCCAACAGTGTTTTCTTTCCTTTTAAATACACAGACAAAACAACCTAATTGTTCTGAAACTAAATCTTATAATGACAGACTAAATTTAGGTTAACAAGTAGTTACAGGAAGCAGCCTCGAATTACAAATTGTATATTTGCATGTTTTGGCACGTATATGTTTTTTGAAGGTATGTTTTGTAGAAAGCAATTCCAGTTTCTACCTGCTGAATTCAGACAAGAAAGCTTGTTTCGGCAACAATGAAATGAAAGAACTGTAGGATAGTTTCAATCAGTTACAAGGAAAGTAGGAATCCTTGGAGGGTCTGTCTGCAGAATTGCTGACAGGAATTTGATCTGGGGAAACCTGTGGTCAAATAAGAATTTTTCCTTCTCCAATTTTTCTCTATTTTTTACCTCTGCTTTCCAGACACCAGAGACTTGTCCTGGCATACTGTTCTGCATTGCCAGAAGCAATTTCTTCAAGTTTGTGCAGGTATGTAATCCTTGAAAGATTTTATCTCTCTGTAGTCTAAGTCCATTGGAAGCCAGTTATTGCCCCTCACCATTGCTGCTCCAGCTGAGATCAGTTAACTCAGCAGAGACCATGGATTTATTCTGTGTCTTTTCTGATCTAAAAGATTCTTTACCAGACCAGACAACATTTTAATGGTCTAAGCCATGGGAGTTTTTTGTTTGTAAAATGTTTAAATTACACAATGTATCTCCCATTTCTTAGCATATGGTGACTTTAAGATAACTCAGAGTTTTTTTAGGTTGTCTAATCCTTAATTTGGCAAATATCCTCCACTCACAGAGTTCAAACTGGTCTAGAAATGTGAAGTGAGAAGTCTCTTAAATCCAATTCCATCTTAATACAAGTAAAATGTGAATAGAACCCGAAAGAACTGCAGATGCTGTAAATCAGGAACAAAAACAAAGTTGCTGGAAAAGCTTAGCAGGTCTGGCAGCATCTGCGCAGGAAAAAACAGAGTTAATGTTTCGGGTCCGGTGACCCTTCCCCAGAACTGATAGTGGCTGGGAAAACGTCAGTTTATATGCAGAAAATAGGGAGGTGTGTGAGGTAGGAAGTAAACGATAGGATAGAACCTGAAGAGAGAGAAAGACAGTTGGACAGACAAAGGAGTTGCTAACGATCAGGCTGGGAGGGTGAATGTTTCGGGCCTAGACCAATTTCTGATGAAGGGTCTAGGCCCGAAACGTCAGCTTTCCTGCTCCTATGATGCTGCTTGGCCTGCAGTGTTCATCCAGCTCTACACCTTGTTATCTCAGATTCTCCAGCGTCTGCAGTTCCTACTATCTCTGGGAGGGTGAATAGTTGTTAGTGATTAACAACAGGGCGTGTGTAATGGCAGGCTATGTGGTAACAAGGCCTGGTGTGTGGGGTAGGGGGCTGGGCCATGGGAGAGTTTAGGCTCAAATTATTGAACTCAATCTTGAGTCCGGAGCGCTACAGGGTCCCCAAGCGGAAAATGAGCTGTTGTTCCTCCAGCTTACATTGGGCTTTGCTGGAACACTGCAGCAAGCCAGAGACAGAGATGTTGGCCAGGGAGCAGGGTGGTGCATTAAAGTGGCAGGCAACAGGTAGTTCAGGGTCTTTTCTGCGAGCAGAACGTAGATGTTCTGCGAAGCGGTCACCAAGTCTACGCTTCATTTCCCCAATGTAGAGTATGATAAATAAAATAAATAAATTGTGATTGTTTCGTAAGTCTTTACCTGCATCCATTTTTCTTTATGTGCAATGTTTAATTATGTTTGTGGCCATGAATTGATCATTTCAATGCCCTTATGGAGCAGCATTGTAAGGTCTTCAAATGGTTCCATGATGTATCAGAGTCAGTAAAATAGATCAGTATGACCTAGATTAACATTTTGCTAAGTTATGTGTTCTCAGTTACAGAAGCAAAAAGCAATGCATTTGGTCCCAGCATCTCTTAGAGGATGGCTTTCCAGATTGATTCCTGAAATGAGAGAGTTGCCCTTTGAAGAGAGATTGCCTGGAATGTGCTTGTATTCTCTGGAGTTCGGAAGAAAGAAAGGCAATTGAATCGAAACACGTAATGTTTAGAGAGGTTAACAGGATAAATGACAAGAGGCTATTCTCCTTGACTGGGGAGTTTAAACCTAAGGGACATAATCTCAAGACAAGGAGTTAGCCAATAAGACTCAGGTAAGATGTTTTTTCACTCAGAGGGCTGAGAATCTTTGGAATTCTTTACCTCAGGTAAGCAAAGGGTGTCTCATTTTGAGTATATTGAATAGATTTTTGAGCATGAAGGAAATCAAGGGATATTGGCATATGGTAGAAAAGCAGAGCTGATGTAACTTTTCGGCCATGATCTCATTGAATGGTGGAGCACACTCAGGGCTGTATACCAACTCTTGCTCCGTTTTCTTATGTTCATAATGTAAGGAGGAGGAAGTAGACTGGAATACTATTCAGGGATTCACAGAGTACCATAGAATGATTAGAACACAAAGGAAACCATTTGGCTCATCATGTCTGTTCTAAACATTATGTTAAAATGTTTGTGTGTTTCATGTGAGAATATGTCTACATTCTGCCATGGTGCCATTTACAGTTTAATGTCAATAATGAGAACGGTAACTTGGAATATGTACTGGAAAGTAGTTTGCACTTGAAAACTGTACTGTGGCTTAAATCAGCACCTTCAAAAGAGGTAGGAAATTGGATGGAAAAGGTTTGTAATTGATAGTAATGTAGTTGTCATCAATTATATGGCAACATTTTGAAAAAAAACTGCAAAACCTTAGAGGCCCAAGATACATGAAAAGTAGTTATAGAGTTATACATCACAGAAACAGACTGTACAGTCCAAACAGTCCATGCCGGCCATAATCCCAAACTAAACTAGTCGCACTTGCCTATGCTTTGGTTAACCTGGCACTAATTAAAGAAAGACTTCTGGAATTCCAGTGAACATGTCCTCAGATTTAGTAAGACTAAGTGAGTTTTGCAAATCAGAGTCAGCCATTGAAAATTAAGATGAAGCATAAACATAGCACTGATTTAAAATGAGATCATGTGCTAAGGAAATTTCTTTTCCTGGAGAATGTAATTCAGCACTTGGTACACAATAAAAAAAATTTTGCTTGATTTTCAAAAGGCATCACTCTTTGAGGTGCTTAGAGAAAGTGAGATTTCAGTTATAGAATACCTCACAAACTGTAAAAAAACGTATTGACAACACAAATATTAATAAATTATAATTATTATATTTCTTATGAACAGACTATCCAGCAGATAATTCACTGAGCTATTGATAAAAATAAGGGAAGCTCATTT